TCTAAGTGAAACAATTGTGGAGGTTGTTATGAGGAGTTGCTTGAGATGGATAGGTCATGTGCTAAGAAAAGACGAAGGTGATCCAGTAAAGAGAGCCTGGCATCTATAAGTTGAAGGTAGAAGAGTAAGGGGGCGGCCAAAGGTGACGTGGAAAGATATGGTGAAGAAAGAAAGTGCAAAAATTGGTTTGGAGGAGTATGATGCACAAGACAGGAAGAAGTGGAGAGATGGTGTAGCTGCATGGAACGAGTGACAGTCAGTAACCCCTTGAAAGAGGGAAGAAAACTGACTTAAATAAATGATGATGATGATGTACTACAAATATTTGTACACCAAAATATAACGTTCATAACTTTAAAAATATTAGCCTGGTCTGTCGCAAAGTCGTCCGCCAACAACAGGCAGTGTTCATTTAAAATTGAATGGGTAGCGTCAGGATTTGCCCGACGGTAGAGTCGTGCCCGATATCCCCGTCCCGTAGAGATGGTTCTGGACAGCATTGCTGCCCAGAACCACCCTCAAAGGAGGTCCGTGCTCGAATAAGTTAGGATTTGAAAGGCATTAGTATTACAACTCTGTATAGCCTATGAGTGGAAATATAAACACATTTTAAAAGCTCACCTTTCTTGGTACTTAATTAAAAATGTTCATACACAATTTTGTCTAGCACTTACCGGTACCGGTGCACATATTTCCTCTGTAATCTTTATATTGATATGTTTTTGTCTTTTGAAATTGTATATACTATATGCAATTCTGGGGCGGATGTAGGGAGGATGCAGACGGTGCGATCGCGACCCTTAAATTGTATTAAGGAAAATAATTGTTGTACTGTATTGTTGATATGAATTACAGGTAAAATTTTAAAGGTATTAGAGTGCAATTTCCAGTCACCTAGAGGTCCATTATTCTCAAAATTTTCGCACCTCAGGCCAACCATGGTCGGGCTGAGATGGTGTGAACTCTCACGCACCCCCTACCGCCAAATCCTGCATCCGCCCCAGCAATTTGTGAATCGCAAGAAATTCAGTCTTTACTGTGCTTTATGGATAGGCCTATTATTGAAAATAAACAATAAAGAAAGAAATAAAACCAAGTTTATTTTATGTTTGTTGACAATGTTGACATTTAATAATTGTTTCTGAGACATAAGTTTCTTTAAAATGTGAAGCTCATAGAGGATAGGGATTGTGCTATCAATAAGTTGTTAGGCTTATTATAAAAGACAAGGCCTAGAAAATACCGTAATTTATGTCGATTACGGCATAGAAGTAGGACTATCAGAGGCTAAATTTGATGTTATACTTGCACAAACTGTACAATATAGGCCTAACTTGTTCCAGTGTATTCGAGCTTAACCTACAAAATATGATTTACTATCCCCGCAAAGACTGTGAATGAGATAATCACATTATATGCACCCGCATAGAAAAACTAAATATGTGTCACGCCCGAATTATTAAAGAAAGTGCAACAAACCACAGTAAGATATTTCATAACGAGTGCGTAATTTATGAGATTGTATAATATTATAGCCCTACATTATGTTAGACGAGTAGGCTAATTCAATAAGCTGAATTTACGTAAATCTAATTTGAAATGTACAACAGCATAATATGTAACAATTCTTTGGTTAACAATTCTATAATCCTTGCTCGGGTTACCAAGGGTTCTACAGATTCCCTAATGCGCAAACTAATAATTCTAACATATTATTTATTCGTGTGTAAGCACAATGTCTCAAGCGGGAAAGGCTTAGGGATTATTAAGGCTAGAATTGTTGAGTCAAAAATTATTATCTGCTTTACATTGTAGTTACATAACGGTTCTTATATAATCTTGTACAATGGTCGCGGTTCTAGACCGATACCTATATACAGTAAGTTTCAATTGAGGTCATATACATTTAAAAACATTGGATACAATTGTGTCGTTTATCTCAGTTGTCAGTTCGAGAAAACAGTTGGATACCACATTATGCTATAATTTAATAATTATTGTAGAGAACTGTGGAATATCGCATTTTTCTTTAAGCGACTTATTCTAGGTTAACCACTAACATGGACCCCCCTTAATAGTTGCGAATGAACACATTCTGTGCTAGATGTAAACACAAATTTATCGTAAATTCATAAACTGTTTGAACTGACTACATCATCAGGTGTCCTAATTTTAGAAACACTGACCAACTTCACGAAAGACACATTACATATGCAGGCTGTTTGTTCACATGTTATTCATGCGAACAAGAGATAATTTTTTTTGGCGCCAGGAGCGTCGAAGATCGATGAGATCCCGGATGGAAGGAAGGATCATATGTTCGGAACTAAACAGATCAGCTGCAAAGAGCAGCTACTCTAAGTGTTTGAATATCAATGCGTATCATGTCTCATATCATCCTTTAAGTTCTGACATGCGCTTCTAGAATTCGGGAAACCTCAATTTGTGTAATGTGAGAGTGGCGAGTCATTGAAAATTTAGACTTTAGTAAGAATTTCTGTCAAAACACTGGAAGATCTGACGTTATTTTTTTCTTCCCCGTCTAAAATAATGTATATGTAAATGTATATAGGTCTATATATATTTAATATATCCGTCTCTGGACATGGATTTTAGTAGAATACTAATTACACAACATACCGTATAAAATATGACAGCATATGAAGAGTTTATCAATAACGTTAAGACGTCAAAGCGGCGATATAAGGGCTTTGTAACTCGGAGGTTGCCAACAATAAACGCATCAGGAACGACTATCCACCCCTTCTATATAATGTATGTGTAAATGTATGTAGGTACATAGGCCTATATATTTAATATATCCGTCACTGGACATTGGCTTTTATATACTAATCACACAACATACTGGTACCGTAAAATATGACAGCATATGAAGAGTTGTTCAATAACGTTAAGGTGTCAAAGCGGCAATATAAAAAGGCTTTGTAACTCTGAGGTTGCCAAGCAAAAAATAAACTCATTAGGAACGATTATCCACCCCGTCTATATAATGTATGTGTAAATGTATATAGGTCTATATATATATTTAATATATCCGTCATTGGACATGGCTTTTAGTAGAATACTAATTACACAACATACCGTATAAAATATGACAGCATATGAAGAGTTTATCAATAACGTTAAGACGTCAAAGCGGCAATATAAAGGGATTTGTAACTCGGAGGTTGCCAAACAAATAATAAACCCATTAGCAACGACTATCCACCTGCGTGATACCAATCAGGCTGAAAAGCATTTTGATGAACGAGCAATTAGATAGTACACTAAAGACCGATTCACAGAAACAGAAATACAAACGGAATAGATAAATGGGGAGAATATCTTATGATGAAATGACCTTGAGTGACAAAAGTCTTCAATCTCATTGATATTTTGATTAGCCAGAGAGATGCTTATAATACAGAATGACAGGATAAATTAAATCCAAAATAGAGATTGAATGAGCAAAATAAAATTTGATCGAAGCGTGAACAAGGTTACACAACTCAGGGGCCCTCTAAAACGGGGACAATCCCACTGTTGGGAGAGCCTCTCGATAGTAAGTTACTTTAAATGCAACCCTTGGGCTTATTTTGAACTCGTTTCATAAATATATGAAATTAAATCATACTCTGTGAACCCAAAACCTCTATCATATTATGAGAGTTTTTATTCATTTTTCCAAGACACATTGGGATAAAATACATGGAGGATGAGAGAGAGAGAGAGAGAGAGGAGAGAGAGGGAGAGAGAGAGAAAGAGAGTCTTTGATTGCTTTAGTTTACAGAAAAATACTCCAAACCAAACTTGATTTCTTTATTAATAAATTGTAGGATTGTTAATTTACAGTTCAATATTTCAAATTTCATTAATGTTTGTTTGTCCAAGAGGAAATCTGTCCTCTCTTAAATTGTACGACTTTACGTTTTCAATGGGCTGTCCGGCGTTGTTTATTTTAAAATTTCTATGCGTCTTTAAACACTTCCAATGAATTGACAGTGCTGTAGCCTATTCAAATACGTGTCTTGAATTCATATTTTCGATTCGACAGATATGTTTTACAGTGGCAGGAATTTCTTTTTATTGTTTTAATTTGGAAAAAATGGAAGGGGCTGGAGAAGGGGGCGCTACTACACTGTAACATCTACTTCGTGCATCTTTTTTATTCATTGCGCAGAGCTACATACAACACATTCTATCAGTTGTATGCCATAATTTCAATTTCTGATTAAATTAAATTAAAATCAAATGAATAGAATAATAAAGTAATATAAATATGGTTACGAAAGAAAGTTATAGGCTTATATATACTGAAGGAAATTAACGCTTATAGGCCTAACAGTACAGTATTGATTTTTTAAAGTGAAACTTTGTTCACACCCTTGAGAAGTGTTGTGGGATGATACAACTTTTTTTTCTTTCTTTTTTTTTTTGAAAAGCACGTTCCTATCGGGATTCAAAGTTAGCGGTCGGTTTCTGTCCACACACCGATAAACCTGTACTCCTTAAATTTTCACTTTAAGATACGTTTTCCTCAAGATATATTGCATAGGCCTACACAATTATTGGTTAAAACTGATAATAATATGCAGAAATACTACTTAGAAGACCTATTTTGAAGTAATAATAGGCATAACATAATAGTTACAGCATGGTGTGTACATATGAAAATTGTTATTTTTTGTTTTCTTTCGTTTTTGTTATATTTTATTTTTCTTGGGCCAATATCGGCGTGTATAGTTCTGGTAGCGCTTCTCGCCTTCTACGGTTTCATTCACTGCATTTTCCAGATAAATATTCTTAAACCAAATAGATATTAGCAATGACGTCATAACTATATCAAAGCGATCATAAACTAGGCCTACAGATTAGAGTGATGCTCGTTGGTTACTGGATCATCTAGGGAGTTCCAATTTTTTAACAATCGTGTTTGTTTTATATTATATTTCCCTAAAAGAAAAATCGACATCACCGACATAAAATGGTTTTATACTTACGGACAATTACTGCCTTGATGCACAACTTATTACTTTGTGTTATTATGTCCGTGACATTGAATAAAAAAATAAGGTCTGCAAATCGTTCTTGGATGTGTGTGTCTATACAGAGCTCCGGTCAAGTTCACACGAACGTGTAAAAATTGTTCTGCGTTACTGGAATGCGGTTCGAGCGTTTATAACGCTGTCTCCTGGTACAAAACAGCTATGCGTCGTTTAAGGTTCTTAACAACCAATCAAATCGTTGCTATGTGAAACTTACAATTGCAATGGAATATTCCATATTTTTTTCAACAGCACCAATTTAATTTTGTTTATTCTTTGGCAGAACACTGTGTTGTGAACCAAACCGGTCGATGATCAATTCAATTTCTATTTTATATAGCTACGATTTTGTGTGTCATATAAAAAATCCTAAATAAGATAAATCAGGCTCGACGTGTACTCTATTGCCCGCAAGGATCGCGTATGATGAGCTAATACAATTAGAGGTACACGCACACCCATACAAAAAAGTGCGTCATGCCCAAAATGAGTTAAAAAATTAGGTAAAAATGACCCTGACAAATTTTGATTGATCCTGATTAATGTTAATAAAGTATTGTATGAGGTAAACAGTACATGGACACAGTTTTATGAACAAAACAGTCGATATCAATTCAAATTCTAATTGTAGGTAGCTTCGATTTGGCGTCAGATTTGCCATCCTAAAGTTAAGACTTATTCAGGCTCGAGGGCAATGCATTGTTGTCAAAACGCCGTTTCAACATAATTTCATAATATAGATATACCAGCGTATATAAATTACATTATTTTAATTAATTGAATGATATGAAGTCGTAAGGATTCGCGATCGCCCGTGTTCTACTTAAACACAGTACAGATAATTATAATATTATGTATTATGAACTACCTACACTAAATGGCATAGGCGTAAGTGTGATTAGTGGAAAAAAGACGCACTTTATTTCAATGGACCTTTTCTGAGTGTTATTAAGAATTGACCGATCAGATCAAGGACAGAATTACGCGCTTGTCTTGCAAGTACGTGTTGTTACACAAACGCACATTTTTCGTACGTTTTGCAAAGCTGTTGCTTTGTAGGAATTGGTGGAATTTAGCGACCGGGGTTTAGCGGAAGATCCACAATAGTAGTATGGATGAAATGAAGGCCTAGTCCTATATAGCAAGAAGATAAAACACACAATCTCAATGAGTTTAACGGAAAAGAATATTCTGCTGAAAATTTGTCTGTCATCTGTATGCTTCACATGCTTTGGCGTATTGTTTCTATCTTGTTGGTCGTTAAGGAAATTAGATTTCGGACGTGTGAATCGGTTCCGTAGTTCGATTGAATTAGACCACTGCAGACTGATTTTGAAGCTTGACTTTTGATCCTATGATATATCGTTCATCTCTTCGAAATTAATGGCATAAGCCAAAAATGTAAATTGCATTTTGATTACTGGCAGTGTGCACAACAGCGTGTGACCTATTGCACATGAACGCATGAAAATGTCAGGGATTGTCGCATTAAGGCTGCTAGTAGCATTATGAAACTTCGTCCACATCTTAACTTTAGTTCATCATCATCATCATCATCTTCATTTTCATAATCATTCGTTTTTTACTAATCATTATTAGTATCATCGCCTTAATAAAACAACAACCAATAATCAACCAATAACCAGTTATACAGTGCAATAAATATATTACTTGGGCTGTTTAATTAGAGGTGCTCTGCACCTGTTTGCCCTCGCTATCACTTTTTATTGTTATTGTAAATTAAAATAAAAATAAAAATATCATCATCCTTATCATCATCATCTTCATTATCGTCATCATTCTTCATCCTATTGATTATCTTTTTCACCACCACAATTATCATCATCATTATCATCATAGTCATCATCATAGTCTGTGGTTCTTAATTCATTTATTTGAAGAGCCAAATTATTATTAGAGTTGGTCTCATGGCCGGGCCAAAGATAATCTCCGAGTTTCAAGCAACTTGTTATGCTTTGTAGATCTTAGGTAAAATTCTGAGTTGCATGGCGGAAGCCCCTGTTGGCCGCACAGACCTTTGAATTTGTTTGGCAATTTCAAATCCTATTCTATTTTTAATTGTACTAGAGCACAGTATTAGGACACTAAATTCATTACAATTATTGGTTTAAAATTTTCCAAAAGAAGATTTAAGACACTTCATTTTTCACTATTTCTTGTTTATTGATGATCTTTTATTTCTTGCTTGTGTAAAATCATCACAGAACAAAATTGGTGGCGTCAATATTTCCCCGATGACTGAAGAGGGCCGATGTTTTGGAATCTCTGAAGGCGGTCCAGAAGCTCTAACAACTATAGTGAATTTGAATGTTTAAGGCCCAACGATTTTACAGCCTATATTCTGTAAAAGTTACGTATGATTTTACGAATGTGTTGAGTTTTCCTTCGAGGGAGCTCTCTCTCTGACGACCAAGAACTAACAACTTCCTGGCAGGACTAATCCATGGGAGTATTCCGAAGGCAAAAATGAATTTACAGGCATAATGTAATCGTCAAAACACAGTAATGTTGTTGTCAGTCATAAAAAGTTTGTGGCACAATCGGTATTTTCTGTGTATAAAGTTCACAAATCCTATATCTACCAAATACCAGGGCTTTAATTAACGCCTAAAACGTATAAAAAAGCTATACTTGTTTATAAATGTATTAACCGATTAACACCTTTATACATGACAAACCTTTTCACACCGTATTTGCAGGCGTGAAACGAGACAGTCAACTATTATGAAGTTGAAGGTTCCTTTTTCGAAAAGCGAAAGTTATTCCACGAGTTTTAAGGTGACCGGGGCGAATATATGGAATGACTTAGATATTGATTTGAGAACTGCGACTTCTCTAAACATATTTAAATACAAATTGTACGAGGCACTAATTAAGAAAATATTATAATCGGTTACGACCATGTGCTTTAAATGCAGGGCCCAATGGAAATCAGTGTTTTAACTGTTTGGGCTACCCTGGGTAAATAAATGTAAATAAATAAATAAATAAATTTAATCTAGATCTAAATGGAGTCACCCCTACTTCATAGTGGCAAAGTCTTGTGTTTTGGCCTTAACTTTATTAGATTTATTGGAAGAAAAAAAAATCATCGAACGGTTATTACTTTTAGTCGTACCAAGTTTGTAAAATCGGTATTTTTTGTGTAAGTTCACAAATCCTATATCTACCAAATAAATCAATTAAATTAAGTAAATTTCAAAGCCCATTACCGTACCGTATACCCATGGACCTATTAAGTCCATGGTATACCAGTATACATATTACCATATACGGTACGTGGTACATATAACTACAGTATATTAATAACTAAGCATGGTTCGCCTACAACAGCAATTATGTCTACTATGCCGGTACAGAATCAGATGTATCTATTGTACTGTCATGCAGTTGATAAGACAGAATCAAGTGTCGGAATTTGATTGGAGGTTTCTGTTTTTATTTTTTAAAGTGTTATTATTCTTATTCCAATACAGATTTGATTTGAGATAGAAAAATTGTTATTGTATCGATTGAGGGCGTGCTATTACATGTGTGGCGACAGGGGTTAAAGGTAACGAAATAATAACAGCAGCGAGATCGTTACTGTAGGCTTAGCCTAGCCTACTAGTACTTTTCACTTACTTTGCCAAGTTGTAAACTCTACAAACTGATTGAACCATCGCTTATTCATGTGAATAACATGCAATCATGAGTGTACACGATCTGAAAGACCAAGGAAACAGATTTTATAGCGCTAAGAAATTCGATGAAGCAATATCATGTTACTCGAAGGCCATAGTGAGTCACCAAAAACATAGAGCCGGGCCGAGCCTTGCCCTAGCCGGGCACGCTTTCAGTGTCAGTGTCACATTTTTATACCACGTAGGCCTAGGCCTAGCTAGTCTGATTTGAAATTGACTTATCAGCTACAGGCAGATTTTGTTTATAATCATAAGCTTGCTCCTTTATATCTCCTTACTTTCTTACTATTATTATTTTGAACGCTGTGGCTAGAGACACCCTACGACGGTAGCCTACTGCTGACTGTACGCTAGGCCTAGTGTAGTTAGAGGGCCTGGCCTACACTTCTTTTTTAATTTTTTTTATAAGAACACATTTAATAAGAACACTGAGGCTCAAATAGCTTAAATATTAAGAACAAAATAAGAACAAATTGAGGCTGAGGTAAAATGTCAAATGAGGTTTTTATTTAAAAAGAAAAACAAAAAAAATATATATCTGTACCTTATTATGTGCAGAAGGTGTGACTATGTAATAACCTCTATAATCAGTAGGTGTAGGGCCTACTGTCATTTTAGTCCATTTTAACCGGGCCTTTTTCTGGGGCCAATTTTTCCGGGGTCAATTTTTCCGGGTCCAATTTTTCCGGGGCCTATTTTTCAGGGCCCATTTAATTTTATCCGAGACATTTCTAGTAGAAATGGCCTTGAATTTCTACCAACATTCCAGTACAGTAGTATGCTGCTGTACAATAAAAATTTTCTATTTTTGAAAAGTGTGTAAAATAAGAACAAAATAAGAACATTTTGAGCCTGAAATCGGCCAAAAAATAAGAACACTGAGTCTGGGCAAAATTTTACTGGTTCTTATAAAAAAAAAAAAAATGTGTACCGTATTTCTGCTTCAATTTGCTAAAAGTATGGTAAATGGCATTACGTCACCATCACCCAATAAGGTGCCAGAATGTCTTTCAAGACTGGCATTGCAGATCACCCACGATGAACGATGAAATGTGAACACTTTACAATCTGACCAAAATAATACACTTTGTATGCACATGCAACCGTACATTTACCCAACTTTCGTAGCTGTTATCATAGTAAACATCGTTCGGCCAGAATCCAGATCGAGGGAATGAGTTGCCCAATCGTGATTATTAGTGTAAAATTATATATAAAGTGCTAGTAGGCCTGCGAATCCTCTTATTTACAGATTCAGTTTTTTAGTGCAAGTGTGTTGTCATGTAAATAGATTAGACCAACGCCTGAGTACAGTAGTATGTCAACTCTATTAAGCAAAAAGGCTAAGCAAGGCCTGGGCCTACGTCAGAGGATTCGTGCTTTGCATGATATGGCTATAGATAAATGCCATGACTCTTATTACTGAGTGGAACCCTTGCTATTTATCCAGATGACAGTATTATAAGAAAAATATTGTACTCTTTTCTAGCTTATCATATGCTAATCAAGTACATTGATCGCTAGTCACACCACTAACCTCACACTGTGGACGATCTGCAATACCGGTCTTGAAAGATGATGTCGTACACATTTCGGCACTTTATTGGGTGATGGTGACGTAATGCCATTTATCGTACCTTTAGCAAATGGAAGTAGAAATACAGTACTGTATCTCTAGCCACAGCGTATTTAAAAAATGTGGCTATGCTTAAGCTGAGAGTTGCTTTGAAATTTATTTTTTAGGTTTGCCTGGGCCCAGACTGCACATATTTTCACTAATATCTCTGTCTTGCTAGTTGATGAAAAGTATTGCATCAGATACAGTTTTTTTAATATGTGGCAAGCCAAACCAGTCACTCGTCGCAAATCCTGTTTTGGAGATAATGGCCGAAACATGCTGGAATTTCAAAATTTTGGAAATCTATTTTATTGCACTAAACTAACCTTTATATATCTATACATCATGCTATTTTGTTATTTTTCTCATTTTCAATGTTAAAACAACAATTTTTAACGATTTGGTGATGGTTTCTGCCTATTAAAGAAATGCCTGAAATCGTAAACTATGAAGGCTGATTTCTCAAATATTGTTCTTTAAACAGCTGTATGTTTAAACTTGTGTAACTTCATAACGAAGTGTCGGATTTAAATGATTCTTTTACCATTTTATAGCTCTCATTGTACTGTTAAACACTGTATTAATAACTAAAAATTTATTTTTCCGACGAGTGACTGGTTTGGCTTTCTTTGCCACGTATTAAACTGGGGAAAAAGGGACATAATCACCCTTTTTCCCACCTTTTCCCCCAGTTTTCAAATATTCAAAAATCTGTATCTCATTAATGGCTTCTGAGTTTTTCGTCAAATATTATTTTTCTCTTTAGAATAATCAGCATGTTAATTTTTTTTCCTCTGGAGCCTTACTTTAACAGTTATATAGCATACAGTATGTGTATTCAGTATTTTGCTTTATAGTGTTTTCTTCTTTCTTTTTTTTTCTTTTTTTTACCTTCCAAAAGGGGGAGGGGAAAGCCTGGGGCCGGTGCGCCCCCCCTAAATCTGCCCTTGTGCGCATCCCTTTATGGTATGGGCCTCCATATACTGTAGATGTAGCTAGTGCCTCACGATCCTGAAGCTTTTGGGTGCTAGTTCCCCCACTTTGTAGTACATTGTTACCCATTTAGTGGTGGATTCAAGAAGAGAGAAAAAAGAAAAATTGTAAATTAAATTTATGTCTGAGTTCTATTTCCGGCCATGTAGAGGTGCCATAATCATAAATGTTCTCACCTGGGCCCCAACCAAAGGTTGAGGGGGTATAGACTCTCCGTCTGTGAAAGTTCTTTCCTGGGCCTCCTGTGTTTCAAATTGCTAGATCTGTAATGTGTCAGAAAAGGTTTGAGAAAACAGCCTGAAGCTCTCTAATAAAAATTCTGGAAATATCTGTCATCAAAAATTGTTTATATGACCTTTTATTGAACAATTTTTGATGTTAAAAATTCTTTTGGAAATATTTATTATGGATAGCATTCTCCTCTAAATTAATAAATAGGACAAAGTAATCCTCAGTATAATTTGACTTTATCCTGTGGATTTACAGCAGGATTAAACATAAAGATGAATCTAATGAATATTTCATAATTATCCCACATGCAATGCATATTCTCAAACACAATTTGCAATGAGCAAAAGGTACCAGCTGTAACCAGGCTTCAATTATGCTATTAATATTATTATGGCTATTTTATTGATTTGGGTTTTCATTGGCGACTTATTGTTTAAATTTGCACATTGCTATTTCAAGTAAGAGTTGATAAATCATAAAATAGAATACAGGTGGCATTGGATAACTAAGGCCAAATAAAATTATTTTTTGGTGAGGGTATTAACTATTTGCTTTTTACTATTCTATATACTAACGGTGAACAGGCTGTTAAAAAGTTAAATAGGTGGGAACATGGTTTCCCGCCATGTTCCCACCACTTCTTAGGTTTGACATCATTCTTTCAGTATAGTCATTATTTTTATCGTCCATGGAAAAATGAATGTTTTTTTTGTTGAAAAATAGCAAATAGTAAATTTTTTCATGAGGCTCCAAAATTTGATGAGGGCAGGGATGTGAAACTAGCAGTTAATTTTATTAGACCTAAAGTTCAGGAAGCTTTTTGTAATAGGTAGAAAATACAATCAACTCAAACTCAGCAGGCATTCAATAAAGGCTTTAAACTCTCTCATTTTGACTTTCATATTTTAAATATCTGCTATTGATTCTGAAAAAACAACAGCCATGCTGCCATTCCACCTCCCATGATTACAAAATTCTGGAATATTTACCAGTAACTAATGAAGTGGTTCTATAGGCTCTATCAACTATCAATTCTAGGTTCTGAGTTTGAAACCTATAGTATTCCATTTGTTTCAACTAAAAACAAATCAACTGGTCAAAGTTACTACGTAACTAAACCATAAAATAAGGGTTATAATTTGGTTTGGCACTCTGTGTATGTCTTTAGAATAATTAGTATGTTAGCTTTTTATTATCTAAGCTAACGTCGCCCTTGTGACTCAGCGAAGTAGTTCCTGGTAGTGCACATAACTTCCGCCCACGATCGGGCAATAATGTAGAATTTTTGCTCAGAGTGCAGATTTCCGACTGTAGATTATCTTGAACTAGTTGGCATGCAATTCTACACGTACATGCTCAGTCAACAGACATTCATGAGTTACTGGGTTACTGTAACATGACAAGTTCATTCACATGTGGGTATTTCAGCAAAATATAACACAGGCAACTGAAAGCAAACTGGCAATTTTCAAGTGCTTTTGATTGCAAGAGTGCTTTATTGCTCAAATTGTACGACTCACATTTGCGGGCTAGTTGCAAAAGGTCAGTTGATGTCAGACTGAGTCGCAAGGGTTTAGCTTAAGATTAATAACATTTTATCCAAGTATGCCACAACATGTACTTTTTTGTTTCATGGCAGGTTAAAAACCAGTCTTACCCAGCCCTGTTCACCAATCGTGCATTATGCTACGTCAAGTTAAAAAAGTGGGCCGAAGCAGCCAAGGATTGTCGACAGGCAATAGAGATGGATCAAACACTAGTCAAAGGGCATTTCTTCCTGGGACAGGCTTTGCTTGAGAAGGGGATGTATGATGAAGCTATAACAAGTCTAAAGAAAGGTAAGTAAATAATTGCATCCTTCTGCTTTTATTGCATTTTTTTTGCATATTGAAAGCTAGTGTATTGTTAAACACCTGCGTAATGAGTGCTTTATTTCTATTATTTTAGGTTAGCTCTGTATTTTCTAGGACTTAAATGCATTTATATTGCTTCTTTAATATCTTTCGTTTGTGAAGCACAATTTTTTTTTATAAGATTCAAGAAAATGTGGTGGTACGATACTAACATTTCCCAAGCCATTACTATATCTTTGCTTATTAAGTTGCAATGCATTTGATAATGATCACAATTAATTGATTGATTGATTGATTTGTTTATTTATTTATATTCACAATTTTTAACCAGGGTGTTAGTCAAAAAGACTGGTACCTTGGGGCCCTGAGAACAAAGTTAAAATTGAAAATAAGTTACAAAAGACTAAAAACAATAGTATGAATTTACAATTACAAAAAATCGAAGAGCTATAATATTGATACCTTAAAGTTTCTTTTAAATAAAAAGATTTTATTTTTAATGTATTAAAGATCTGTAGAGTAGTATCAAATTGTACTGTCTTTTTGTTTTTGTACTGGGAAGAAAAAAATAGGACAGTAACACAAATTTTTTTGGATATTGCTACAGTACTGTTTTATTTTTTTCATGTGTTGAGTGCAATATCAAAAACTTTGCCGATGATATTCCTCCGTCAGTTGAGCTACACGCTTCATTAGACTCTGTTATCGCAAAGCAAATAATGATAGATTGATTGATTTTAAAATTTCCATAGCACTAGAAAAACAAAGTTTGTCACTTGGGCTTTTACTTATTTATTTAATACATTATTGACTTGTCTCAACATAATTGAATGTTCTTTGAACATATTATGCCATTTGAATTTCTGTACACTATATTGATATTAAGAATATTCATAAACCGACATCATATTAGAAACCAACTCTATTGCCAAGGGGTGTTATCAAAACTGCAATTTTGCTGTTTAGTATAAAATGTTAAATAATATTCTATATTTATATTGCTACAATTGCTCTATCATAGCTTAAAATAAGTCCAGAGGATTTCAGTTGTGGGATCTACCATCTCTGACAGGGGTCTTTGCCAGCTCACCCCACCATGGTTAGGAGGAAGGTGAGCAAAGACTACAGTAGGCACTAGTGCTGTAGATGCATGAAAGTGGCACTCATTGACTGTATAAAATACTTTGTCAATATACATCAAAACAATCCTCTAGGTGGCAGTTTAGTCATACAATAATAATCCTCCGCTTAAATAAATTTCGACAGTTTAAAATCTCCTCAAACTTATTTACGTTTTATCTTAAAATAACTTATCGAAAAGCTTGGTCAATATTTCTTTAATAAACGTCAGAATTTTGACCCGTTAGTTTTGAAAATAATGGAGTGAAATAAACAGATAGAAAATTTGAACATGTCTGCATGGCCTTGTCGTGTGAACACGGGCCTATCCCTAGACTAGAGTGTCACACAAACAACATTCTTCTGACTCATTGGCCATCTTAGTCCAAAAAAAAGTCTTAATTCAATTCAGCAATTTCGGTTTGTCTAATAGTTTAAATATTCCATGCAGAAATTGCAACAAAATGACTTGGTGACAGTATTTAAGCTCAATGTGTACCTCTAAATCGACAGAGATCACCTAGTCAGTGCTGCTTGTGGCAAGTCCTGTAAGCGATACGCCTAGGCCCCCTAGAAGGCCTCTTAAAACACTTCACATTTTCTGTCTGAATAGAAATGTAAATCAAATTAACCTTGACTCATGAATCTATGAATCATTCAAAATATATATGTTGTTATAAAGAGTATCTTCCATGTTTTCTGCTGTTTTCATTACGTTTTAGACGATTTAAATAAACATCACTTTCGACTCGGCTCAATGCATAGCATAGCTCTTGGTGGTTTGTTGCCAAATTATACCAAATCGGCTGAAATGTGATGACGTCATCTTTGGTGACTAATTCGGTCTATTGGTCAGTGCAGTCTTCTCTGAAGATAATGATTGATTGATTGAATAATAATAATAATGGTCGACTTTATAGAGCGCATATTATGGAGACCTTTATGTGCTTAACATAAACATGAAAATATATTCCAAGAAAGTAATAATTAATCTAATCATATAGAGAAACAAATCCTATTATTAGACTAAGGATGGTTTGGCTGTTGGCTCAGAGGAGCTTATCCACCCTTTGTGCAGCCATTTTTTTTTTCTTTCAGGGGTCCCAATTCCCCCACAACTCGTGGGAGATCTCCGTGTTTGGTAATGGAACGCTGGACTGCCAAACACGGAGATCTCCGTGTTTCAGATTTTTTTACGGAATACGACAGATGGGGTAGTTACCGACATTAACAATTTAAACACTACTGTTACGGGTCACAGATTCTGATTAGAATCAAGTGTTTGGTACCATTGTAAAGCTAAGATGTTTGTAGTTCTGTAATATTCACTACATGTCAATCAATTCACATACGTACTCCCAATGAGCTTCGGAAAAGTGTTAAAATTCGCTAAAAAGAGTGGCGGTGGCTGATACTATTTTTTCAAACCCCTGGCGGTCAGAGTGTTATTAACAGATCACTTGGAAGTGACTTCTTCAACTTCAGACCTGTGGACAAGCTATAACTTGGAGTGTAGTTGAATAGCTCGGTGGTTAAGATGCTTGCTTTGCAATCCCAGGGTCATGGGTTCAATTCCTGTCAGTTGCAGGACTTTTTCTCACGACCAAAACAACTCCACTCCCTAAACCTCATGTTGAGATTTAGTTTTTGTAAAGCATCATGTGTGTATGTTTGGCTTGTGTGTCGTGGACTGTTTTATGTTTACTGGGCCCTCTGGGAGAGCAGTAATTTGTTTCTGAAGAGGAAACCCAGTATAAAGAACAAATAAATAAAAAAATAAAAAAAAACTTATACTGTTGCTCGGTATTTGTTGAGTAACTAGTAAAAAATATCAAAATAAGGACTGATACTCTCAAGGACACCATGATAAAGATGCTATAAATAATCATATTGATCACACCAAGTATCATGGATAACTTGTGAATCTTTCAAATGTGGAATCAAGCCAGTGAAACAAGTGATTTACCCTTCATTGAGTATCCTCTCGAGATGTATTACATTCCAAAAAAAATCTTTTAACTTCTGTGGAAAGATGAATTTTGAGCATTACATCTCTTTTGGGAATATTTTAATAACTTTCTTGCATTCAACACATGCTTGTATCTTCTTTGGTACGATACAAATATGCCAAGAGGTGTGTTGGTGCTGTCATAAATTTGTTTCGTATTGTGCATTTTTCTACTTGTTTTATTTTTACCGGCAGTTAAATCTTTGAGAGCCATCTTGAGCTTATGAGTGACTTTAAACCTTTTTAGTGGTATTTCATTATTAAGAACTTGATGAGTTCAGTCAGTGGCAATGGTAATTTCCTCGTATTATTTGACAAAGCTTCAGTAAAGCCAGTGGTCACAATCAGTGTAATATTTCAATATAATTTGTCATATTGCCTTATTTCCAAGAAATTTGATCATAAACATATATTTTATATTTGGTTTTCAAATTCAATGAAATTTGTTGAGAAATGCATCTGTGACATGGTATATGATTGATACAGTAAAGTAACTTTTCTTCCAAGAATATTTGTAGATTCTTCGTGGTTCTTAATTCCCATAGCTATCCACTTGTGTTTTGGTTCGTCATTCTTAAAAAGAGAAGGTAGCATTGACATTTTCTATAGACAAGCCTACAGTATCATCCATATTTTATTGACAATAAAAAAAATAATAAATAATAACATCATTTAAGTTTTGCTGGTGGTGTAATAGAAACTTAGGTACAGTATTATGATGCAATAAACACCAAGGATCTGAATCATGATATGTTAACGTCATCAAATCAGCACCAAACCATGATGGCATCAAACCCACCATCAAAAAATGCTGTTTATCATCTGTAATCAGAATGATGATATTATCATATCCAGCATCAAAGAGTACTGTCTGTCAATGTTAGGACTTTATCAGGATGACATCATAGATCCAGCATCAGTGAATCCCGTCTATCAATGCTAAAAATGTATAGGATGACATCATTAGATCCTGTTCGACCTGCCAGTCAGTAGAACTATATCAGGATAACATTGTTAGATCCAGCATAAAAAACACTGTCTGACAATGCCAGTATTAGGGTGACATCTTCAGATCCAGCATCAAAGAGTACTGCCTTTCAATGTCAGGACTGTGTCAGGATGACATCTTCAGATCCAGCATCAAAGAGTACTGCCTTTCAATGTCAGGACTGTGTCAGGATGACATCTTCAGATCCAGCATCATAGAGTACTGTATTTTAGTGTATAGACTAAATCAGGATCACATCATGAGATCCAGAATCAATGAACACTGTTTGTCAATGCCAGTATCAGGATGACATCTTCAGATCCAGCATCAAAGAGTACTGCCTTTCAATGTTGGGACTGTATCAAGATGACATCTTAAGGTCCTGCATCAAAGAGTACTGTCTATCAGTGTTGGGATGTATCAGGATGATATTGATGTAATATTAAAATCTGTGTCAGGATGGTGATATCATTAGATCCAGCTTAAAAAGCACTGCCTACCAGCGTTGAAGGAACTGTCGTTTTACAAGGACATAATTTCAAAAACCGATTCTTTCTTTTCTCAATCCCTACTCTGTTATAATCTTGAAATTCACAATGTTTTTGAAACATTTACAGTAATTTAAGTTTGATGTACAATTAGAGTTTTTCATAATTGAATGAAACACTTTTTAATACAATGGAAAGGAAACTTTTTAATGTATTAAGTGTTGAAAAGCTCCTTGAGTTCACCGAGAGGTGACGGAACTAGGGGGTGCTGTGTTATGGAGAGTAATGTGTGACCGGAAATGGTCTGCAGTCAGTTGGTTGTTACCATGCGCCAGTGATGTTGGAGTATATAGAACAGCAATATGAAACTACTGTATTATGT